GATGTATTCAAAGTGTTTGGAATGAGTTTTGATCAATTTTGGGTATTTTGGCAAAATTTGGAAATATTAGCCTAATTTGGGTACCAAGGGCAGTTAGGTAATTTGTTGGAGGTGCATAGGGGCAAAAGACCAATTTAGGCATTTCACATAGAATTGGATAGATATCCATTCTAAATGAACCAGGGATTAATATATTGTGAAGATATGGTGTATCCTAGTTCCAAGTCAACACCCTAGGTCAATCCTAAAGCCAAGTAATCCTATAGGGACTCTTCTTGAATTCTCTTATAATGATCTTACCTACTAAATGCTAGAGGTTAAGATCAATATGTGGAATTTCAAGTTGAGTAAAAGAAGAGTTTTGAATTTCTAATGGTGGGGGTACCTTTTCTAATTTTCTAAGACTAGTCAATAGGAAAGTCCTATGGCTAGACCTAGGCTATTAAAGAAGTTTCTAGACCTCAACCAAAAGTGAGGTCAACAGCGTCATACAAGCATGACATCATTAAACGTCAATATAATACCCTAAAAACAAAACCAAGTCAGCACATCTAATATTACCTTAATAACACTGTGATACTACCAAAATAACACTAAATCCCCACGTCAGTAATGTTACAAGCAAATAATACTGTAACACTTTGACACCATTACAACTACGAGAATAGCTACCCATTAACCCCATCACGACGACGAAAACAACACTTCATTATGACATTTAACCCACTAAAACTATAAAGAACAATCAGAAATGAAAAACAGCTTCAAAAACAACAAGTATATCACCGTGATATTACCTAAATAACACCACATCCCACCCTTAACGAAATTTAGCGTTAAACGTCATATAAAAACAGATCAAACTTCATTAACAATATAAATATTCCTTAATAACTAAATCTGCAGTCAAACAAGTATAACGTACCTGTCGATTTCCTTCTGCCGCATTTAAACTCTGCTAATTCTCATGATTCTCGAAAATATTATGAGATTTCAGTTCATTATCATGTTTCTTGCAAGTACTTTGAGATTCCAGCAATATTTCATCCTCAAAAATTACTTCCATCCAACCAGGTCCAGCGAATACGAGGAAATGAAATGAGAATATCCAGAATCCCTAAACTCTAAAGGAGACAAAATACTAAATTTTTGCAGTTGGTGGGAATAAAAAATGACAAAATTACGCTTGTTTGGGTTGGGCGGAATTTGGGTAAGGTCGCATATAATATAAAAGAGTTTTTAACATAAATAATCCACGTGGGTCCGGATTCCACATGGCCATACCTAATAAAAATTCCTACGCCACCCTCTCCGCTGCCCTCACATTTGTCATTGTACATAGCAGCTTCTCCTTCCCGTACTAACCTCTGCCCTCCCTTCTCTTGAGCAACAAGTCAGCTCCAACTCCAACCCGTCTCTCTCCCTTCTTCCGTGAGAAGTAGGTCGGTTCCAACTCCATCCTATCTCCCATTCTTCTCCTACGTAGTAGGTCGGCTCCAACTCCATCCTATCTCCCATTCTTCTCCTACGCAGTAGGTCGGCTCCAACTCCAACCTGTTTCCCTCCCTTCTACTGTGTGGTGAGTTGGCTCCAACCCTTCTTTTACTGTTTCATAATCTCTTTTTTTTCTTGCTTTGAACTTTATTACATGTTTGCTCGTCAAATTCAAACCAACCTTCTATTTTTATTATGTCTTTTATGTGATTTAATCATAGCTTTTAAATCTCTGAGTTTCTGTTTTGGTAGAGTGATCTTCATGATTTTAAATATGTAGGAATTGATGCTCTCAATTGGCTTATTAAGATGAAACAAAAAATTGCAAGGAACATCAATTGATTGTTATTGCTTGTATGCAGGTAAATTACAACAAATTTTCAATTACTAAATGTATAACTACAAAAGTGGTTGTTGTTAATTGGTTCAGTGTAAATTTGTTTATACTGTTAGGATATGTTTGTGATTGGACTGTCAATCTAATACTGTAGTCACCGCAATGCAAAATGTTGTGTTTGATTTCATGCCATGTAATTTACTTTTTTATATATATGGAAAAACATTTAAAAGTTTTAGAATGATCAATTTAGAATTTTGTAATGTTCCTTGATACGATATTTCATCAGATATTTTTAGTCTTCAAAAGATCAATTTATTTTTATGTAGTCATATGACCATATTCTAAGCTGGAACATTGTTTAAAGTTATTATCAAACAAACTAAATATCCTAGGATGAGATGAATCATCTTCAAGTCACTAAAAGAACTAATCTCTTTAATGCAGATTTACATGTTAGTCATCTCCTTACTCTTGAGCTCCATTAGCCTATTACCTAGGTGCCTCTCACAATTAGATATCTTCAACCTTACTGGCAATCCAAAGTACACATCAGACCACTTAGCTTGGAAGGGGACTTTGCATATATATGTGCATTTATATTTGATAGATTTATCGAGTATCAAATATTGCATAAGACTTTTATAGTCAATCTAATTGGGTGTACGGGTTTTCTCTAATCGGTTTAATGTATTTGGATGTATCTTATATAGTAATTCTGACATCCTTGGCTCTTTTATAATAATAGGAAGCTAACATTGTACTTGTTGGTTTATTTATGTATTTAGAAGCTTACAACAACTTTTATTGTCATTTACAGAGGGTGTTAAAGTGGTGGTTAGAAAGAAATTTAAGAAGAGGAAATAGGGGAAACAAAAAACGACATTATAATGAAGCTACGGTTTGCCTCATTTACCATTTAAATGTTATTTTTTAGTTATGTATGATCAATTTGAAAACCTCAATACAATACAAAAATAATAATAACTTTCCCTTGAGAATAAAATTCATTCTTATCCAAATTAAATCTTCATAGTATGATTTTTAGTCAAACATTCTATGTTATTTATGATATTTAGCCCCTGAAATGTCAAACTACATTGTTTTACAATTATATGCAACTTCATTGATATTTTAATAACTATATTTGTTTTTGCAGATATTTAAAAGTTCATCATATTGAATGGTGGTGAATTAACTGAGTACTATCAATCAAGCTCTGATAGTAGATGCACATATGAACACGATGAGTATATGGATGGACAATTAATGAGCCAAATGAATGATGATATATTTTTAAATTTGGCCATCAATTTAAATATTCACCTAGTGTTAAGCAATTTCTACGGATATTGGCTATTGCTGAGAATTGTTTAATGAAATTTAAGGCGGGATAGAAAGAGTG